GGGGGAGGGGCGCGGCGGGAGCCCGGGCCGCCCGGCACCTGCGCCCCGCCCGGGCGAGGGGCGGCACCTGGAGAGGGCGGCGCGCTCCTCGGCCGCAGGTGGAGACTGGAGGGCGGGGTCTGGCCCCGCTACCTGCCCTCAGGTGTGGCCGCCCGTGGGCGGGGCCTGAGCCTGCGGAGGTCGGAGCTGCGGCTGCGCGGGCCATTCCGGTTCCTTCCCGGCTGCGGGACGAGGTGGCGTCCTGGCCCGGCTGCTGGGCTAAGGGACGGACAAGCTGCCGTCGGACGGACGCGTATGTTCCTGCTCTTGTCTCCGCCGCCGGCTTCGGCTCGCCTTCCTCCTTTCCCGAGTTAGGAACTGGGATCTGTAATTCCTTCTCCTTTTCCAAGGAAAAATGATATTTAAGACTATAAATTTACCTTTGATTATACTTTTGGCTGTCCCAAAATCTGTTGTACTTTTACCCGTTTCTATGTACATTTGACCTTATAACTTTATTTTTCGTAAGTTGTGCTTAAGTATGTTGAAACAAATTAAGCAGTGCAGTTTTGTTTTTTAAGTATTTTCATGCTTGAAATAGTGACTTTTAAAGGTGTCGTATTTGTTTTTAATTTTATTTTGCTAGATAAAGTACTTATTTTTGACTACTTAATTCATCAGCATATAAAGTTGTAGATAAAATTGACTACTATAGTTTTTATGTCAATTTTCTTATATTTTGCTTTTTAATTTTTTTAAAGCAAAACTATTATTTTTGTGGCATTCAGGCCAGTGTCGATACTGTATTATCTTTATCCTGTGTAACGCTTTATTCCCTCCCCCACACCAGATATTTTGCTTTGCCTGACAATATGGCCACATGGGGTTTTAATTTACCACTTAAATGTGATCTTTTCACATCTTTTTTTATTTTGGATTCTTCTTTGTAATTTTAAATGTATCTTTTGAAAGTTTTAATAGAGTTAACTATTGAGGTTAGTGGTTGTAATTGGAATGCTTGGCTATTTGAAAACAAACTGTTTTGTTTTCCTGTTTTTCTGTTCATTTATTTCCTGCAATGATTTGCAACTTAGAAGCTTATTTTTGAACATTAAGTTACAAATGTTGAAAGTATAATTTTTTTCTTCCCTCCCTTCCCACTGAAAATGAAGAAATGAGAAATTTTCCTTTTTGTTTCTCTTTGTCTTGTTTAAATTAACCCAGACTATAAACCTTGTCACTTTTTCTTTGAGGGGGGGAATTTCCTCTATAAATTCCGATCTTATTTCATCTTCAGCCTTTTGGCATCTGGGTTATACTCCTCTAAAAAAAGAATTGTGAGTTTTTTTATATCCTACATACCTGAAAGACTTACCTTCAGACCACCACAAGAACTCTCT